GCCTGTGGCTCAGTGGGTAGGGTGCCAGCCCCATATACCAAGGGTGGTGGGTTCGAACCCGGCCTTGGCCAGCTAAAACACATCAGTGGCAATTGCAACATACATAGTTGGGCATTGTGGTAGGTGCCTGTAGTCCCACCTACTCAGGAGGTTGAAGCAAGAGAATCATTTAAGCTCAAGAGTTGGAGGTTGCTCGTGAGCTGTGATGCCACAGCACTCTACCGAGGGCAACAGAGTGAGACTCTGTCTCAAAATAAAAAAAAAAAAAAGGGCTCTGGATTCACATTGCCTATCCCTGGCTCTTACTAGCTATAAACTGGGGTTGTACATGTCTTTTACTTTCTCTGCCTCAGTTTCCTCATTTGTTGAATGAAAATATTAGAGTGAAATTGCTGTTTTTGTAAGTGCAAAACGGTCCATTGTTCAACCTATTAATCTCTATCGCAGTAGGCTGCTGGGAACGATAAAGTGAACACTGGTAAACACATACAGGTGCTCAACTTGACTTAGCTGCCACCACCACCATCATCTTTTGGCCCTCCCCACTCCAGACAGATGGTCCTTCTCTTGCTTCCTACACACATAACTCCCTTTGCACGTGCTGTTCCCCCTTCCTGCCCCACTTCCCTATTTTGCCGCCACCCCTTCCTTACATTTTGACTCCTCCAAGGAAGTCTTCTCTCAACCTCCACGTCTGGTCAGGGTTGTTCCCTGGATCCCCAAAGTTCTCTATGTCAACTTGGCTTTGACCTACCCCTGACCTGTCCACTGAGGGGAGGAAAGTGTTCTTCCAGTAATTGTCTCACCAACCCCGCCACTCCCAGTTTCGGGAATCCCCCACCCCAGGCCCTTCCACCGGCTCTTCTCACCTAGCCCAGCCCCACCAGCCCCGCCCACCCAAGGCCCCGCCCCCTCCGCAGTACCGGAGACAGTGCTGGTGGCCGGCCGCGCGTGCAGCGCCACGTCTGGCTGCGGCACAGCCTGCGGGTGCAGCCCCGGCACCTGCTGCAGCTTGGGCAGCGACATGACGGCCTGGCTACTCTCGGCAGGCGCGGGAGGCACTAGCAAAGGCTGCTGCGACGAGGCCGACGTGGGTGGCAGGTGAGGCGGCCGGATCTTCTCCGCCATTAGCTGCTCCTTGATCTTGTTAATCAGGACCAGGTTGTCCAGCTGCGGGTGGGAGAGCAGAGGGCTGAGGGAGCCTTGGCCGCGCGCGCCCTGTCCTTTCCCAGGTATGTGCGTCCACCCACGAGTCACGTTCCCTCTCTGCCCCCGCCCTGGAGGCCACAGCCAAAGCCTGGGCAAAGTGAAGCAGCTCTGATGAGGGGGGGGCAACCCGAGGGTCTTGCCAACTACATGAGTCTTACCTGGCTGGGCATGGTGGGAGGAGGGGGCCAGAAGTAGGGGTTGTTAAATCGAGGCTCGGCCATCCTGTGGAGAGAGAGTGCAACTGTCACTGGGAAGAAAGCTCTCCCAACTGGCCTGGGGCAAGCTGTGGCCTGCTACCCCCATTTAATTTGAGGCCAGTATCTGGGATCCCTGCCCCGGTGGGATCCTCAGCTTCCCAGGAGAGAAGTCTCCCACCACGCCCAGGAGCCCACATCTCCAGGCTGAAGAGTCTGGAATTCAGTGTGTCCCTTCGTGGGCCCCAGAGGGCAAAGGTCACATCCAGACCTGAATGCTCCCAGCCCACCCCCACCCCATCACCCTTATGCTGGCAGACCAATGTTGGCCCCCACAGGAGGGCGCTGGGCTGCAGAGCCAACCACCTGGACCCACAAAGAAGCCCCAACCCCAGAGACAAAATGAGGGGGCCCTGGAGCAACTCTGTAAATGGCCAGAGAGCAGAAGCAACTACCCATCCCTGACTCCTGCCCTTCTGTCTCCCACCTGCTTGAGTACTGACATCCTTATCAAAACACAGAGGGCAACTCAGGATCACCACATATAGCTTCTCTGAAGGACAATTTGGCAGGATGATTTAAGAGACTCAAATGCCCTTTGACTCAAGAAATTGGACTTCTGCAAAGTTATCTTCAAGAAACAGGCAACATTTGGTTGCACAAGGCCACGTGCAACATTTGACTGACAGGAATGTGCATCAGAATGCTGTGTTTAAGGAGGAGTTGAGCAGGTCTGAAGCTAGGGCGGTTTGGGGCTCTTCAGTAAAGTGTGTGACAAAGTGTGTGACAATCTGGTGGCCCTCACCTCTGGCAAGTTCCACGCCAGGCCTGTGCAGTTAGGAGGCCTTTTCAACCAGGGCAATATCAAGGATGGGCCTTCAGGACTATCTCAGTCTTCCAAAGGGTCTGAGTCTTCCTGCAACCCTAGAGTGGTAAGGCAGGAAGTGGTTTACAGGGACCATGGTGCACTGATGTACTCCTAACGCCTGGCCCCTGCGTTTCTCTTAACTCTCTTATAGAAATTACTTCCTAACTGTTATTGTTGCTTAAGTGATATTGTTTATTTTGACACAAAAAGGCCAAAATGAAGTGCCTTCAACCTTTTTTCCTGGTCCTGGAAGCTTGACAAGCCCCTACTGGAATTGTAGCCATAGGATTTCAGGAGAAAACCTTCAATAAGGACACAAGCTAATCTCAACATTTTAAGAAAGATCTTTTAAAATGAATTATCTCTTGTGACCTTCACTTGAAAGGTAGGTACAAGGGGTATTATTATCCCATTTTATAGGTGAAGAAACTGAGGCTTGGAGAAAGGGGGGCCAAGAGACCTGTCAAAGACCACAGAGCTAGGGTGCCAGAGTCAAAACTAGGAATCAGATTTGCTCAAGCTGGTTTCTCTGGGGAATTTGCTTTGCAAACCTCAGGCCTTGGTAGAGCAAATACCCACATGCAAATGGCTCAGTATCTATATGCAAAAGTCCTTGCCACTCATTCCCAGCCCCAGGGGTGGGGCTTGGATCTGAGCCTGGCCAGGTGGGGGTCACAATACCCTCCTCTGCGGCAGTGGGGGCAGCTCCTCCTCTCCATAGCCCTCCTGCTCCCACCAAGCACAGGCACCAAGATGCCCTTTCTTCTTCCCATTCAAACACCCTCCCCCCACCCCTTACAGCCCAATGTGAGAGCACTTCCTGCCTGGAGTTGTCCCTGACTGCTCCATACCCCTCCAACTTCCTCTTTGCCTGAAAAACCTCAAAACAATAAAAGGAGGATGAAGTTACTAACTGCCCACCTTGTTGCAGGCACCCTGACACTGAAAGGCAGGAAGGTACTTTCATCATCCCCAACTTACAACTAAGGAAACTGAAGTTCAGAGAGGTGGCATGACTTGCTCAGGGTCACACAGCAAGTAAGCGGAGAGCTGAGTTCCCACACTGATGTGCTTGACTCCAAAGTCCAGCTCATGAGTCCCTTGGCTGTCCAGGGATGAATGACAAAGCATCCTGACCGTGGGACTGTGAACAAGCCCTCCCTTAGGCGGGCATACCTGTGACCCTATGGGTGAGTACTTGCTCACTCAGCAGTCTCAGGACCTGTCCTAACCCTGCTGTTGTCCGAGGGGGAAACTTGGAGGGGACAGAGCTATAAAGCCAGAGTGAGGCTCCAGAGCTAGGGGAACCAGAGATTGGATATACCTCTCATTCATGAGGGTATCCCCAGCGCCCAGGCAGGCCCCAGAGGTTATCAACAATGTGAGTTGTATGACAGAATGAATAAATGAATTTCTTCTTAAATAGTAATTATATAAACACAATCCCACACAACTATCTAACACTGTTCACAATTTGCAAAGCTCTTCTGCACCTATAGGCATTCTCATGAACCCAAGGAGGATGGCAAGCAGGGAGGAATTTTCACCCCATTTCACAGAGGAAGAAACTAGGGCACCAGGAGGGAGGCACCTTGCTTCAGGCCCCGAGGATGGGAAACAGGAGGCAGCACTGTGCTGCAATGTTGGGTGTTGGCACTCTACACCTCAGTTTTCCTCATCTGTAAAATGGGGTAAAAACAAGCTGCCTTGCTTCTGTCCTGGCCTAGGACTCTGCCTACTGTATCCGGCTACTCCTCAAACAGTTCTGGAGCAGCTAACTCTTCCTTTTGCTCTTCAGTTCAATTCAGTGTTAAGTTCAGAGCTGCTACCCTGGTCAGGGAGCTGTAAGAAAGAGGGGAGCTTGCCCAGGGTCCCATATCTTAGACACAGCATCATCCCTGCCACTTATCAGGCCTCTGGTTGGTCAGGGACACCCCCCAAACATAGTTGGGAAATCTGACCCACAGAGGGGAAGGAGCCTGCTCTGGCTCGCTTAATCTGATCTGCACAGCCTCTGCCTGATTTCTCTGGCCTGTTCTAAGTAATTTAATTATTCAGTCAGTGATCCTAGCTCTGGCGTCCACCTACTGTGTGCCAACTGCAGAGCAGGCAGGGCAGAGCCAAACATTTGCTGAGCTACAACTGAGCATCAAGACACGTTGCTAGGTGCTCACCAACAGTATCTCATGTGCAACCCTCGGACCTATCCTAGAAAAGGGATGGCCAAAGCCAGGCTCAGCTACTCAGATGAGAGAGGGGTTTAAAGCAGGAGAGACACAAGCTCAGATGTGTGTCTAGGACAAATGGGCAAGGCAAAAGGGGGCTTTCCTGGCAGAGGTAGCTTGAGCAGAGGCATGAGGCTTAGGACAGGGAGCAGCCACCATAGGTACCAAAAACAGCTGCAGAGAGTGAGGTGGCCAGAGACACAGGCCAGCTGGCAGGTCACAAACGCTGTGCTAAGATGTTGGGTGGGAATGTTGTGGTAAAAAGGCACCAGGGAGTATGCCAGGCCAGGGAAGCTATGAAGCAGGGGACTAGTGAGGTAGGAAGAAGCCTGTGTGAGGGTTGGGGAGGGAGCCAGAGGAGCCGGGGTAGGCAGAGACATGCTGGTGGCTGGGCAGGACAGGCAGACTGGGCAGGGCCACGAGCACCGGACAGAACCTAAGACTCTGTACTGTGAGCCCCGAGACATAGTCCTGATCCTTGCAGTGGGACAAACAAATCATCATTTTGCTTTTATTATTCCAAAAGGTGGAAAAAGTTGAATGGGTAGATGAATGATACACTTTGTAGAGCTGCTTCTGAAAACGGCCTGCCAATAGCAGCTGGCCCATCTGTCCACTCATTAGTATTAGACACATCCTCTGGGCCAAACCAGGGACCAGGGCTGGGGAACCCAAGGTAATAGGGAAGAGCCCTGCCTTCTGGTAGCCCCAAGCTAACTGGAGGAAGCAGACAAGTGACCCACAAGCTTCTGCAAAAACCTATGAGACCTACCACACACCACCAAAGACCTCCACGTGGTCAAAGCCAATAGGGCACCGGCCTATCCTCTGTGGCCTCCCTGCCACCTGATCCCTTGAGAAGACCTATGTGCCATGACCCTTGAGTTCCTCACCTTCTCAGCTGCCTTCACATCTGCCTAGCTCCTATTCCTACCAGTTGGGCACCTCAGAATGAGGAAGGAGTCCTCTCTCTCCCACTGGCCTCAGTCCCCGGTGGCCCTTCTGCTCTAGGACTTTAAAGGCCAGGCAAGCCCTATGTCCCCCCTCCAGCTCAGGCTCTCCCTGGAGCTCCAGGCCTAGCTCTTAAGTGGCCTCTCAGGCATTCCCTTTTGGTTGTCTCAGGCTACACACACCCAGCAGGCCTGAGCTGGACAGCGACATCCCCATCTGCCCAGGTGCTCCTGCCAAGACACACAGTAATCCACAACACTTCCCCTCTCTGCCTCCCACCTGAGACCCCCCCACCAGCCACGTCCTAAGGATTCAATTTCCAAAATCTCTCTCAAATCCACCCACTCCTCCAGGATTCTCAGCCACTGTCACCCTGCCTCGATCATGGAACGGCCTGCTTTGTTTGGAGCCCAACACAGCCAGGTTCAAATCTTGGCCCAAACTTGCCAGCTTTGACCCCAGGCAAGTTATCCTGCCCCCCTGTAAGAGGTTAGCTGCCCAGAGCCAGGAATTGACCTAGCCCTGGAGAGGATCAGGGAGGACCTCCAGGGGAGGTGATGCCTGCCCTGGGTCTTCAAGGATGAGTGGGAGTTAGCCAGGCAAAGGAATGGGGAGCATTCCCTGCAGAAGCAACAGCTTGAGCAAAGGCCCACAAGTAAAAAGCAAAGGGCGTGGAGGGGAGCACTGAATGTTCAGTGTTGACTAGGAGACAGGAGATAAGGTTGGAGCCACCAGCCATGGCCAGACAGAGAAGGTTGCTTCCTGATTCCTAGGCCTGGAGGCTGGACTTGAGGCAGCAGCAGGTGGGACGGAATCTAAGGTTGAGAAAGGCTCCTCTGGGTGTTGAGTGTAGAGGGGACTGGATGGTGCAGAGAGGCGCTCGGGGAGAAGCAGGGGCTGCACCTTCGCCAGGGAGGAGAATGGCCCAAGAGGCCTAAGGGTTAGAGCTGGCAGCCAAGGAAGCATGCAGGTTGCCCCCCAGTGGAGCCCCAGAGGCCCTGTGGATATCAATGCTGACAAACACACCACAGAACATGCAGACAGACAGCACCAAACCCAGACACACAAGACAAACACAGACCTGCAGCTCCAAACATGGACTTACAGCGATCCAGCAACTGCCATGAGCAGGAACCCACAGCCAGTAGACCACAGGAGGCTGCCACAGCAGGGTGAGCACACACCTCCCCCCTGGGGGCAGGCCCAGACGGCAGCAGTGGGGGTGCTCAGGGAAGTTGGGATGAACACAATGCCTTAATTCCCCCAGAGAACAAACCCCTCATTGACAGATCGCAACCTGGAATCCTTACCTAGAGTGTCCTTTCCCACTTGGTGAACTTCTACTCATCCTTCAAGACCCAGCTCAAGTGTTCCCTCTTCTACGGAGCTTTCCCTGAACCCCCAGCCAGTCACTTCCTCTGTGTTCCCAACAGCACCTTGTATATGGGAATAACAATAACAATAATAATGATAATAAAATGGCAGCTACTATTGATTTCAACACCTATGTGTTGAAAATGTTATGATTCATGTCACTGAATCTTCTCAATCACTCTGTGAGATGTGCATTTAACAGAAGAAAAAAACTGCAGCTCAGAGAGGTCAATCAACTTGTTCTAAGTCACACAGTAATAAGTGATGGAGTTAGGATGCCACACAGATCTTACCCAGCACTACAGGGCTGATCACATGCTGGTGTGTGTGGTTATCTCTTTTCCAGGATTTCTTCCCCACCAGACTTCATGTTTTTAACAGGTAGGGTTGGTCTTCATTCACCTCTGCCCACATCTAGCCCAAGGAGGTCACTTACAACAGGCCAAGTAATGTGTCAGGACATTTCACAGACATTTCTTTACTATTAAAGTAGACCCATTGTACAGATAAGAAAACTGAGGTCCAGAGAGCTTAAGCAACTTGCCTGAGGTCACAGAGCTGTCTGGATTTAAAACCAGATCTGCCCATCACCCTTTACCAGAGGGTGGGCTACAAGGCCAGCCCAGCAATCTCCAGGAAGGGGAGTGTGTGCTTAAAGAGGTGTACCCCAGGTGCCAGTTCCTGCCACCTGGGGACATTCAGACCTAGAGAGTCACAAAGCAGATGGGCAGCCCAGGGTGGAATGTAATGAGCCTTGCCCACTGGAGGGCAGGGGGTGCAGTTAAGCAACTTCCGTCCTACCCCCCCCCCATCCCCAGCCCATCCCACACACGTTGAAAAACAAGATTTGTCCAGACCCCAAGGCCACATGGGAACTAGCAAACAGGAGAGAGCAGGACCCAAAACTGTCCGAACACTATGATTACAAGGAGGCAAAAATAAAAACCTGCGTCAGAAAAAGAAAGCTGCAGGGAACCACGCCCAAGGGAGACTGGGAGCATGGGGTGGGGGGAGGCAGCTGGGGCTGCTCTTGTTTTCTTGTCTTTGTTTCTCTGGTTTCCAAATTCTCAGTAATGTCATTTAGTTGCTTTTATAATGAAAACAATAAATTCATTCTTAAAAAATGAAAGAAAGAAAGTGACTGGCAGCCCAAGAAAGGGAACAGATGGAGGGACTAGAGGCACAGAAGAGCAGAAGGTCAAGGTCACTTGTTGGTGGGCACTCAACTGACCATGGCATGCCAGGCCCTGCACAGCCTTAGCCTTGAGGCCCACAGACTAGGGGGAGGGGATAGGGTATCAGAAGAGATGATATTCAATCCCCACTTTGCAACTGGTTAGGATCTGAGAGGATGGTGAGAGAAGAGGGTCTCCACCAGCTCCCCTGCCCTGTCCAAGACCCATTCAGCTCTGGCTTCAGCATTGCAAGAGGCTCTTCATGATTTCTCCACTTCTACCCTCTTCCCCTACTCCACTCTCCTATTGCAGTCACTCTGGCATCTCTAAGTCAGATTACAATTCTGCCCCACTTAGAACCTTCCATGGCTCCCTACTTCCCTGCAAACAACCTTTGGGCTGCTTAGGCCCAGTTCCTGCTGACCTCTCTGGCCTCACTAGCTGTTCCACCTTGCCCAGCCCAACCAGACTGGCAGTCTCCCTATTCCCAAAGGGGTCCACGTCTCTCCTTGCCTCTTCAGCTTCCACAAGGTGCACCTCCCTAATACCCTCTGTCTTCTCCATTTCATTAGTTAATTCCAGCTCATCTCTCAGGCTCCAGCTTACAAGCCACTTTTTCCTGAAGTCTTCAGGAACTGCTCCACCTCCAGTCCCTGGCAGCACTGGGTGCTCTCCTCTTTGCTCCCTGGTACCCTGTATTTCAATCATCAGAGCACCTCTCACCCCATTTATGTCTATTTTCTTATCCATCCCTGCTGCTAAACCTGCACTCTGTCAGGGAAGAATAATGGCTGAGTTATTTACATTTTATGCCACGCATAGTACCTGTTAAATGTTTAAATGAATGAATGAATGAATGCTTAGGTAGAGAGAAATGAAATTGCCATGGCCTGGATAGGACCCTGTGCTTTGAGTCCTCTCCACCCACTTGGCACTGTGATGTCCCTTGCGTTACACTGTTCCCTATTTCTTGTATCTAAGTCCTATCTTCCTAATTGTTCTGAAAAGGGCCTGTATGTCCCCTGCAAAGACTGGCAGACCCCAAAGAGATGTTAACAGCTAATAAACACAGCAGCTTATTTTCCCTAGCAGTGAAAATTCAACGAACTTCACCTGTCAAAATAGCACAAAGAAATAAGAAAATGCTAACACTCAAGACTGGTGTGGATATGGTGAAATTAGCACTCCCGTGTATTACTGGTGGGAGTGTAAATTGGAACAATCATTTCTGAAAACAATCTGGCAGTAATGTGTCTAGAGCTCCAAAAACACTCAAATTTCCTGGCCTGGCGATCCCATTCTTGTTCATCCATCCCTAGAAAATAACCTCAAAATAGAAAAAGTTATTAATATATGCACAAAGCAGTTTGCTTCAGTGGTTTTTTACAATAGCAGAAACCTGGATCAGCCAAAATTTTAAATAATAGGGAGATGGTTCTGTCAGTTAAGTTACTCAGAAATATAGGCTACTGTTATTAATAATAGCCAATGTCCCTGGCGTTGTAAAGACTCATTTAACACTCATGTCAACGTATCAGGAATAGAGGCACAGCGAGATCTGGAAACTTGCCCAAAGTCAAGGAGTAAATGTAGGATTTGAATCCAGACAATCGGGCTCTGGAGTACAATGCCTTCCACCCTGAAGCTGGATCTATGAAGAAGGATTCAAACCACTCTGCAATCACTTAAAAAATGCTCATGATACAACAGTCAGGGGGAAAAGGAGAAGATTAAAAAAAAAATCTGCATAGATAAAAAGACATCTATATAAAAACTAGGTGTTAAGAGAAAAGAGGGGAAGAAATCATCAAAAGTTTTAACAAGAGTGGTGTTTTCAGGCTTAGGGTGGGGGAAGAGACATAGGTGGTGTTTCTGTTTTGTGTGTGTGTGTTGAGGTCAGGGTCCAGGCTGGAATGCAGTCACATCATCATAGCTCACTACAAAGCTCAAATTCCTGGACAAGCTATCCTCCTGCCTCAGCGTCCCAAAGTGCTGGGATTACAGGTGTGAGCCACCACGCCCAGCATGAAGTGGGTTTTTATTCACGTCCTCTCCCTACTCTGCATGTCAGAGCTGATGAGGAGATAGCCCTGGAGGAGTGCTGTTATTTGACTTTTTTAAGGAATATTTGTAATAAAATCAAAAGTTCAATAAACTTTGGCAAAGCAAGACACCCCAGACCCCAGCCCATGAGCCTCACATGGGATTCTGGGCTCAGACTTTGCAAGTTAACTGAAAAGACAGGGACTCATGGAGAGTCAGGAGCCTACTCAAAAGCCCACAGTGAACCTCCACCCATGACCCCAACAGGGTCAGGAAGGGACTCTCCATCCCATCCAGGGGCTCCATCAGGGAAGACCAGGCCAAAGAAGAACATACCCACAGCACTCAGGCTCCTGCTTAAAATCTTTCTTGGAGTCCCAATGCTTTTGGGAACAGTGCAACTTCCACAGTCTGACACCCAGGCTTTTGCTAAGAAAGTTCTGCTGGCCACCCTGATGCATTATACTTCCCTCTGCACCTGTCTCAGGACCCCCAGAACGAAGTGCTCTGATATGCCTTGCTTTTGCACAGGCTGTGGCCCTCCTTCTGGGGGCCATACCACCCAGCTGGAACTCTGCCCTCAAAACTCAGCTAAGCTGTCACCACTGTGGGTATTGTGTCTGGTTATGTATCTATCCAATCCCCCAAGTGAGTTCCCCGAGAGCAGGGTTTGGTGACAGCCCCATTCCCCCACTTGGCCCCCAGCTCATCTGGCTCTTCCCTTTGGTCTCTGCTTAAAGGACACTTTATGACCTTTTACCCCATAGAAAATGAGCTACCCTGTTATATACTCCCATGGCCTTCACATTTTCCCAACCCCACCTGCCTCTAAATACTCTGCCAGGCTTATCTCCCCATCCATGACCCACAGGGGCAGAGTCACAGCTGCAACCCAGAGCCAAGTGCTGGCCACATTGTAGCTGCTTAAGTGCCTAGTACACATTGGGTGCTCAATAAATCTACACTGAGAAAATCGATGAGAGGAGGGGTCTTTATACATAGGCCCTGAAGACCAAGAAGTCTGCCAGAAGAGCATTGCCAGCAGGGGGTCAGCATGTGCACTAAGGCATGATAAACGCTCGCTTTTGAGGATAGCAAAGGTTTTTCAGACATGGTTCTTGCCCCCGAGGGAAGGGCTCAGAAGCCAGGCTCATACCACAGAGACTTGATGAAGGTAGACAGGCCAGGAGGAAATTTCAGGAGGCTGTTGCAAGGGGAGGGCATGGTAGGTGGAAAGTACCACACATGCAAATGCCCAGTGGCAGAAAAGTACACAGCATCACATCGGCCAGGTATGGGTATGGTGCAGGAATATTAGGGGCAGGAGAGACAGGTGACCTCGTCATTACCAAAGGACCAGAGGTGTCTGGATGAAAGGCCATGGGGGGGCCATGGGAGGTGTCTGAGCAAGGGAAGGTCACAGTCACGGTTTTCAATGGACAGGTCATTATGGGGCTGAAGGATGGCCTGGAGGGGGAGAGGTAGGAGATGGTCTAGGTAAGAGAAGCTGAGGTTTCCCATCTTTCCAGCTCCTGAGACCCCCCCCATATGCACAGTTTGCCTCTTTCCGCCTTTGTCCCCAATCTATGCAGCCTAGAGCCTTGAGCCCCACAGCTGCAACTGCCCCACCCCCAAGACCCTGGCCAGGCAGGGTCACCCTTGGAAACTCACCCCTGGGAACTTCCTGTAAGGAAGAGCTCCCTAGGGTCCTGGATCCAATTAGGCTGTGTTTCCACAGGGGGTTGGGTAGGGCTGTTTTCACTAAGATGGTGGGGCTGCTGTCTGGCCCAGGTCAATGGTAGCTGGAAGGCTGCCTTTCCCCCCACCATCTCCTGGCTCTCCAACCCCTTTGCCCTCTAGGCCTCCCAGTACCCACCCCATGCCAGCTGCCTGGAGACAGTGGGGGCAGTGGGCCTTCTCCACAAGGCTCAGGGCCCTCAACTGGGAACTCTCCTGCTGAGAGACAGTTCTAAAGGTGTTTTTTTTTTTTTTTTTTTTGCCAGGGCTGGGTTTAAACCCGCCACCTCTGGCATATGGGGCCGGCACCCTACCCCTTTGAGCCACAGGCGCCTCCCCAGTTCTAAAGGTTTTGAGCATGTGCCCCACCCCACTTCCATTTCCCCAGGGACCCCCAGCTCCCATCCCCGCAGGAACTCTGCCTGTATGAAATCATGGTGGTGATGATAATAATAATAATAATAATAATAGTTACTTCCTCCATACAAGGCACTGTAAGCCCTTTATAATATTTCTCACTCAGGCTCCCAATGACCCCGTGAACATTTCTTTGAAACATACCACACATTCAGAAAGATGCTTAGAACATAAAGGGACAACTTAACGACATCATAAAGCACACATCCGGGGTACCTAAGCAGTCCTCACACCTGGTCCCTTCTCAATTACGGTCCCCATCTGTCCCCCAAAGTTTCTATGATGATTTCTTCCTAGTTTGGGGTCACAAATGAGGCTCAGAGAGATACTAACCTGTCCAAGTTTGTGCAGCTGGTGAGGGCAGAGGGAGCAAAACCCTCTGGCAAGACCATTTCCTCTCTGGGCCTCTAGGCCCTCCTCTGTAAGATGAAGGAATTCAACTAAATCACAGCCTGGGTTCCTGGACCCCTCAAAGGGTAGTGTGGCAGCTCAGGGGTTAAAAGTACTGCTTCTGGGAATAGGGAGCCCCAGCCAGGGCCCTTGGAATTGTTACCTAAAAGCCCTAAGCCTCGGCTTGGCGCCTGTGGCTCAAGCGGCTAAGGCGCCAGCCACATACACCTAAGGTGGTGGGTTCGAATCCCCAGCCCGGGCCCGCCAAACAACGATAGCTGCAACCAAAAAAAATGGCCGGGCGTTGTGGCAGGTGCCTGTAGTCCCAGCTACTTGGGAGGCTGAGGCAGGAGACTCGCTTGAGCCCAGGAGTTGGAGGTTGCTGTGAGCTGTGATGCCATAGCACTCTACCCAGGGGGATAGCTTGAGGCTCTGTCTCAAAAAAAAGCCCTAAGCCTCAGTTTTCTCATCTGTAAACTGGGAATGACGATGGGGTTGTTGTGAGGATTAAATGAGTTAATAGCATAGTCTTTAGAATAGTGCCTGGTATCCAGTAAAGACTCCGTATTAGCTTTCATTGTCATCATTGTTAGTTCTGTAAGGCCTAAGAGCCTTTCCCAACATTCCAAAGACCCCCATGGAAATCTGCCCAACCAGTGAAGCTACCTGAGGGGATTAGCGGGTGGAGTAGCTCTGGGCAGTTTTCAGGACCCATAGGGACTGCCCTGCTGACTGGCACAGATCCAGGTCTGAGATTAACTCAAAACAAGAAAGCTACCCCTGGCTCTGGCCTGGCTCCCAGGAGCTTTCTAGACAGGTCCCAGGGGTCCTGGGCAGGGAAGCCCTGGCAGAAGGTCCTAAGCCTGCTCCCCTGCTGTACCACAGGACCCCCAGGGCAGGCAGCCAGTGGCACAGGTCAAATATGACTCAGGCCAGGGGTGGAGGCCACAGCCAGAGCGGGCCCTGAGCAGGGAAAGGCAGTGAGGGTCAGACAAAGGAGTGGGTAGGGCCTGGGTGGACATGTGGGTGGGGGAGACACACCAGGTCCTAATAGACCAGGCCCCACCTGCCCCTTCATCCCAGGGTACAAGGCTACATCTCCACATTCCTGCATTTGCCACCTCAGAGTCTTTGCCCAGGACAGGCTGTTCCCTCGGTCTGGAATGCCCTTCACCTGGACAATGTCAGGTCAAAGTTCAGGTATCCATTCCTCCCAGTTCCTCCTAGCACCCCCAACACCACCACTAGGATGACAGTTCTCATCACAGCAAACATGAGAGCCGGAAGCTATAGGGAAGCCTTTATAGGAAAGAAGTTCCTTCCCAGCACTGACGGAAATCTGCAACCACATAATCATCCGTGTGGTCTTCCATACGTCTGTCTCCCTGTTAGGACATGTCAGTTTTCCTCACGCCCATCCCCTGCATCAACCATGGGGCCTGGCTTATAGTAAATGCTCCAGAATACTCTTAAAGGTGGACGGAAGCGAGCCACCTGCCTCATTACTTCAAGCACAGCCAGGCAGGGTATGGACACACGCCTGAGTGCAAGTGTGTGTGGGGGGCTAGTGTGCAAGGCCCAGAATGCAAGGTGTCATTCTCTCAGGTGCAGAAGAGTGTGTGTGTGCACAATGCACTGACCCAGGCATGCCCAAGTAGGCCTGGGTGAGTGTGGCTTGGGTGTGTAGGTGAGCAGGACGTGTACCAAGAGGGTGACACACATATGAATGAATGGGCATGTGGCAGCATGTGGTTTCCTGTGATGGTGCACACAGGTGCGTACCGGGAGTGTAAGCATGCGGGTGGCAGGGGTGTATGCGTGTGCTCCTGTGTGATGTGTGTGTACCGTGCATGGATGGCACCCTCCAGCAGACATGTCTCCTCAACCCCTGGTAGCCCAATTTGGGACATTTGTGGCAGTGTTTCTGAAACAGCACGGGAGCACCCCAATTTGGCAAAGATGGGGTGGGAGGTTGGAGGTGAGCAGGGGAATAGCTGATAATGTAAGTATGTATGAATGTATGTATCTAAATATGAAAGGGTATGCCCCCTAGCCAGTTGTCCCCCACAGAACCCCAGAACCTGGATGGATGGCTAGACTGCTCCCCCAAGGACCCCAAAGCATTTGCACAAAGCTCAGAAAAGGACCCAGATGGTGGGGGGCCTACCAGGGACATCACTGTGGCCACATACGAGGCGGGACAAGGGAAGACCACCTGGGACCCCAGAGCCAAATCCCTCAGCCCTCCTCTATTACCTTATCCACCAAAAATACTCCGCTACTCAGTCACCTCCACAAACCCAGCCCAGCTCCAGCCTGGAGTCCCATAAAGCCATCCCCACCACCATAACACAACCAATTTTCACCATAGCCCACCCAAGTGTCAGGCACAGCCTTAGGCATCCAGGATTACTGTCCCCATTGTAGAGAGAGGAAACTTGTGGCAGAGAGGGAGCAGCTGTCCCAGTAAAGGCTTTCCCTTGCCTTTGTACCCCAAGGCTAATACTGTGGTGGCCCACTGGCACCTGGGGAGCAGAAAGCCCAGCAAGCAAAGCCTCTGGAGATGTACCTTGGACAAGGTGCACTCCTCTGCCTTCCCAATGCAGTTTCCCTGACATGTAAAACGAAGTGGGAAGTTTACTTCTCTCCTAATAATGCATGACTTTAGATCTCACATAATGCTCCAAGAATTGTTTACTTAAATATCATCAGATGCAGACTTTATTGGAGAGAAAACTGTTCTGTCTTTTCCTGGAGTGCACCAAGCCTGTCCAAATACCCGAGACAAGTGCCAAGCACCAGGCTACAGAGATAGGAAGAGCTTGGGAAGTACTGACATCCTAGCAGTGTTTGCATACCCATTCATTCATTCATTCATACATTCAACACTGTGCACTGAGGCTGCCTGCCCTCAAAGAACTCACAACCCAGTGGGAAGAAAGTAGCTACTGAAGCCCCAAACCACAAGGTCAAAGGCACTGAGAAACCAGAACACTAACATCCCCTCCCAGGTGTATTCACAGCACTTGACACTTTGTAAAGGAGACAATCTCCCCAGCAAAGAGAAATGTCTAACAATGAAGGACTGTGGGGGCTGGGGGCTCTCTGATGAGGAGGGAGAGGCCCTTTTGTCAGGGTATGAGGAAGGGATTCCCGCTGTATGCAGGGATTAGGTGGGGTGAAGACAGGCTTTCCTTCAACGGCTGAGAATGGATTCTAAGGAGGAGTCCTAGGTGGAGCGCTGGGTTTAAATCCCAGCAATAGCCCCAACAAGCACCATGAACTGGAGCAAGTTACCTAATCTGTGCCTCAGTTTCCTAATCTGTAAAATGGGGGTAATAACAATGAGAATGAAATGTGTTAATACAAAGCCTTTGGCCTAACACAAAGTTGAGTACTCTGTGCCACTAAATAAATAAGCCACTGGAAAGTCTACTTTGTAAGAGTCTAAGTCCAAGATCAGATCACACTAAGACTCAAGTGGCAAAGGTTCTGGGCTGGAAAGCATCTCAGATGCTTCTGAGAGTCTAAGGTTCTGAGATTGGAAGCGACCAGGATCCTTAGATTCCATGATTTACTCATCTCATTATTTCCTAACAACAGCCCTGAGCCTCCCAGGGGAAGAAGATGACAACCCTCTATGTACCTGCATCTCCCAGCACTGCCGGCCTGTCAGGGCTGCTGCCACACCTGGCCATGCCAGCCTTTCCTCATCTCTGCTAAGGTCCCAGCCACACCACAGCAGAACCACCAGCTCACATCCACATGGGGCAAGAAGTGCAAATAAACAAACAGGTGAAAAGGTCTCAGATACTGACAAGAGCCACAAGAGAAAATAAAAATGGGTTGATGTGACAGCAAGTGGCAGTGAAAAGCTATTTTAGAGCAAGTGGTCTGGGAAACCCCTGTGAGGAGGTGACATTCAAGTAGAAACCTGTGAAACAAGAAGGTGCCAGCCATGCAAACACTTAGAGAAAAACACTCCAGGTGGGGGAATGTGCAAAGGCCCTGCCAACAGGCTTTGTAAACTCAAGGTGCAGAAAGAAGCCAACGGGGCTGGAGGTGGTGAGATTCCAGAGTGTGGAGAGAAAACTGAGGTTAATAGGTGGGGAGGCCCGAGACCATGAAGTGCCTTCCTTATAGGCCCAGAAAGGGCTTTGGATTTTTTTCTTCTAAATGCCTAGGAAACATAAGAGGAGTTTCAGGAGGGTGACAAGAGAGCAGGGCTTTCAGGATCTCCAGATCATGTCGCTCATTCTGAAACCACCACGTTTCTCAAAATCAAGGCAGGGCCTAGGACAGTAACCAGCAATACTTATAATTTGGTGGGTACGTACAGAGCTCCTACCATATGCCTGGGGTGGGGCTGGGAGACATGGCAGAATGGTCTTGCTATCACTCCCAACAACCCCTGAGAAATTCAGAGAGTACCCCGTTTCAGAGATGGAGAAATTAAGGCTCAGAGAGGGAAAGAATGTGCTCAGCATCACACAAGCCATCTGACACAATGGACTTGACCTCAGGACCCAGGCCCAACAGTGATGGTCTGAGGAATTCCTTTGTTATTTGCAAGCCTCTTATTCCCTGGAGACTCCCATAGGTACCTAGTGAACACTGCCCTGGGCAGTGCTTTATGCATGTGCAGTATGATCTCTTCTTTTTCATTGGCTTTAGGGCACTGGAGGACTGTACGTATATCTCACAGGTGCGTCCAACCTGGGCTAGGTGAGCCGAGGAGCGAGGAGCGGATGGGCAGATAGACAGATGGAGTACTGAGGAAACTAACCAACTAATGAATGAACAATGAAAGAATAAAGCAATGATCTAGAGACAACTGAGTGAATAAACTAACCAGAGGCAGAACAAACGGAGAGAGGAATGGCTAGAAGGAAGGGCAGGGAAGGGTCTGTCCAGGGGAGGGCCAGGGTCAGCCTGGCTTCAGACCCAAGGCACACTTCACCCACATACCAGCCTCCTCCTTTCCACCTGGGACCAGTTTGCCTGCATTCTCCATGGCTACAGATGGGGAGACATTCCCCATGTCTCTACCAAGTGTTGGTCATTATTTCACGGCCCTATCACTATGGAACATCATTCCCTGCAACTGCTGCTCTCCTGAGCCCCATGGAGCCTGGCAGTGGGTAGAGTGG